CAGCTCCGCGCAGCCGGTCGCCCACGGGCCCAGCGCGTCCAACTGCAACGATAACATGATGACATTTTTATATAGTTTTATGGCTGGGAGTTGCTAATCGCCGATCAGGTAGGCCCGAGGCGGGAAAAAAGTATCCTAAGCTTTATCTTCGCCTAAAACTGTATCGCCTTTACCTAAAATTGTGTTTTATGTGTCACTAGGTTTAACCTGCGACGCCGTCCGCGAGGAATTAAAAAGGAAAAGTGAGTAGCCTATGTGTTCTTCCAAGCTATCCTCTACATACCAAATTCCATCGAAAACCGTTTAGCCGTTTAGGCTACAAACTCTAACAAACATCCATCCGTCCATCCATCTAAACTTAGGCATTTATAATATTACTAGCTTTTGCCAGCGACTCCGTCCGCGCGAAATAAAAAAACAAAAGCAAGTAGCCTATGTGTTCTTCCAGACTATTCTCTACATCTATGCCAAATTTCATCGAGAACCCTTCAGCTGTTTAGGCTACAAACTCTAACAAACATCCATCTATCCATCCATCTAAACTTTCGCATTTATAATATTAGTAAGATAGTATAGTATGGTATGAAGTATGATGTTTATAATTGTTTTAATTTTATCTGTGTTTAAACCTCACCTTATCTCTGAGCAGCCTAAGCGCTTTAGCGTTGGCGCTGCGCCGGAAGACGCCGTGTGTGAGCGGTGCGACGGCGCGCAGTCTGCGCAGCGCCTGCAGCAGCGCGGGCGGCGGCGTGCCGTTGCACAGCCGCGTCAGCGCCACACCGAACAGACGCCCGCCGCGACGGAGCAGACGAAGACCTTTACCTCCCTGATTGCTAGCACTACAAAAAAAAAAGCTTCTATAGTGTGAAACTAGTAAGTTCCAGTAAGGTAGAACGTATATTGATGACCAATTGGACGTTACTAAAGAATACACCGCTAAAAGATAAGAAAGAATGCAATAATCATACTAAAACTTGAAAATTCGAAAATCATTTAATTACGTATACTTAATGAATAGTTACTTTTTTAATAACGATAAAAAAATCAAGTCTGTAAGCCGGAGAAGAAATCGAGAATATTTAAAATAAAATGTTAGCAAGTTAAACACGAATGTAATTCAGAACCAGTTTGTAAAGCGCTTTCAGATTAGTGATACAGCCGCACAAGGAACATGGAACATCGGGTATAAGCACATTTTCATACCAGTTTCACTGGACAACGTTTCCCTTATTGGTTAATTACAACTTTGGTCAAAACATTTTCACTTCCTATACTAGGACAGCAAGTGAACTCAACTATTTATAAAAACGTTTTAACTACATTAATTATATTGGTTTCACATTTTACAAACCAAATAGTGATGTGCCGTTCAACACATTGTCGATAACTTTGTTTATGTTAAAAAAAAAAAACTAGTTTTAATTACTATTCACAGAAAGGCAATTTGAATGTTAACGAATAATATTTATTTACCTTTTAATGACTTGATTTTTCTTTCTCAGCTCGAAGATGAGCCCACAGGGATTGTTTTTGGCGTTGACGTGTTCTAAATCAAATCCATCTTCATTCGATAACGTTTGTCTGATGCGAGACATCTGGAAGTAAACAAAAACCACTTGGTTTTAATTAATTTTGGAAAACAAAATAGACTTGATTTATCAACGAGAATTATGGTCGTTTTGCTAATATTGTGTGTAAAATAAATGTATTAGTGAAGTACCTGGACGGCGTGTGGTCTCTCGATACCCTGCAGGGGTGTTGGCGGCGCATCCCTAGCGGTTCTAACGTACAGGGTGAAGTCCGCGGGCGCGCCCAGCCTGCCCTCGTGCTCCCCCTCCCCGTCCCCGGCGTCCGCCCCGCGGCCGCCGTTCTGCATCACGTGCAGCGCCTGCCGCACCACGCAGCGCGCGTTCATCTCCGGACTTACGGATACCGTCTTACACTGCAATTAGTTAAGAACATAAATTATTTAAAAATGCTTAAAAAATCCACATTTTTAATATTCAAAATCAAGAGAATGAATAGTTACACTGACATTCTGGGATTGTTATACTTACAAATTCGATGGAACTCGCTAAATCTTTATAAAAGATTTGAATATTTGTCGACTTTGGCTCTGTGTTCAGTTGTGAGTTTAAAGCGTTTTGGATTTTCCTGAAAACAAAGTAAAGATCACAATAAGTACAAGAGCAAGAGATTCTTCTAAATCTTTAAAGAAAGTATGAATATTTGCGTTAATCTTAACGGTTTTTTGCAATAGTGATGTCAATTCATTACGGGATGTATTTTATCGATATCGACTCTGCTACGACTATAGTATGTTATAGTTGATTAAGTTATTAGATAAATAGTATCGACGTACCTGTACCAAGTATCTCTAGCAGCTTGTGTGGGGTAGGTAGCGAGGTAGTTAGCGACACCTATGCTAGTCGGCCAACCGAGCAGGAAGCCGGTGTCGTCACTATCAGGTAGTGAGAGCCACACCTCCACTAATCTCACGCTCTCCTTCAACTTGAAGCAATTGGTCCCTCGCGACTTCCCAACTAGGAGGAGGTCGCTGAAGAGGAAAAGGTGGCGGTCGAGCGGTGGGGAGGTTGAACCCAATGGGCATAGTTGCACCGGCGCCTCCATTATGAAGGTGCGAGGTGACAGATTGTTGTTGGTGTTGACAGCACCACCGATGTCCAAGCTCGGCCTTTTACGGAGACTCTTGGATTTCTGAAATTAACATTATTATTATTATAATAAGGTAGAGATAAAATATAGGCTATAGTCTAGGTTTACAATCATACACGTGGAAGGCAAAGAGATAACTACTAAGGTTTTTTCACCAAGTTTATATTATACAGGGTAAACGAATACGTAGTGCAATTTTGATTGAAAACTTTCCCACTTCCTTTACAATAAAACTATATGAACATCGACTATCATATTATACACATAGATTGAATCCGATTTAATAATTGAATCGAATCAATGGATACGTCGACTATGGTAGAGTACCCACTGGTAGAATAAGTTCCCTTAGTTACCTGGTGGTGTGATGCAAGCGCGGCAGGCGCATCTGCATCGTGGAGAGCGAGGAAGTCGTGAGGGAAGAGGTCCTGCACACGCTCCAGATCGGACAGCCGCGCAGCACGCCGCCGCCCGCATCCACTGCCAACCAGACGCTCATATTGCGCCAACCGCTCGATCTGAAACAACAAAAAACAATATTAATAACATATACTACAAAGCTCATATATTTTGCTGTCTCGAAACGATACAAACACTGATTAAAGGAAACAAAACAAGATCGAAGAAACAAAGGAATTAAGAAAGAATGTTAGCTTTAAACTTTATGGTACATTCACAAAGACAGAAAAGTGATGCAGAGCGGAAGGACCGTACAACACGCGAAAAAGCTTTACTTTCACAATATATGCAAAACATTACCAGTGCTCCACTCATGTAGAACTAGCAATTATTAGCAAGCCAACGAATATTACTTTTAATATCAAATGCAAGGTAATTTAAAATTGAAATAGGATACAATTCATAATACTGTTGTATAAATCACTGTATAAGGTAAAATGTGTTACATTAAGGCTGCAATGCGGAGGTTAGCGGCGTTATGACGTATACAATTACACTAGTATTCGGCCAGGCCTCATGCACCTTAATTACACTGTCAATATACTAATTGAACTAACTCCGTTATTTACCCTTCATTCTCATGTCTTTGTTGCGCTACACAACTAAAGGTAGGAGGGTACTATGAAAACCTTTGGGCTCTCAACACATTATGTGAATTTGCCAAATACACTATTTATTTTTAAATACGTTTATGGGTTTATCAAATATAAAATCGGCCAGTATTACCCACATAAAGTTAAAGAATCTTACAAGAATAAGAATCACGGATATGATATCCATTTCCATTTATGAAATGCTTCATTAAATATAAGCATTGTGGCAGCGATACTAATCAAAATTCTAATAGGATAGTACGAGTGCGTCCCGAGGGAGCCGAGGGAGCCGAGGCAGCCGGGCGTGACGACCTCAACACAATGCTCCTGTAATAACACCGTGGGATACTCATAATTTCCTTTATTCTCAACAACATTTTGTACTTAAAAGGCAACAGATACATGGTAAGACCTTTGTAAAGTGCGTTCTAACTGGAAAAATGTTGTTTTTCTTCGTTTTATACACATTTTGTTATTTTCATGTTGATGGTTGTCATTCGTTTTTTGTTTTACATTTTAAGATATTACTACGGACGTGAAATCTTGATACAAAGTTTGCTATTGAATCAAATGACACGAAATATTTTAGTGACATTTATAAAAAAAATCTTGAAATGGCAATAAAAATAAACTTTTTATAAGTATTTGTTGTGTGATGTGTGACAAAGGAAGTGGTCATCCAAATGTTTATGGTAATAGTGCGTCAATAACGTAATCATGCAAATAAGGTAAATTCCTGATTAAGATAAAAAAATCGTTAAATAAAAACGAGACACGTAGCGGAAGACGTGTTTTACATTTTCATTTGCTTATAAGGTCTTAAGAAACGAGCAAGATGATCAATAACTTAGCTAAGCAAAGTAGAGTAAATGAGTAATCAAGTTTCAAAGTGTAATCCAGTCTGTGTATTAAGAAACTAGCTGTTCCCGTGCGGCTTCATCCGCATGAAATTATTATATGAAAATTTTATTTTATCGTTTACATTTGTCAAATTATAAATAGCAAATGTAAAAATTACATGACATGACAAACCTTGACAATCCTGCTTCCAGGTTGGCTGCAACTTATGGTCCCTTTCCACATTAGGGTCTATAGGGTCATGTAGGGATTTTTATTAAAAAATAGATTTTTAAAAATATGTTGTGATTCCTGACATCTTAGGCAACAAAGAAGTGTGTGCTTACGCTTAATTAAATTCGCTCTATTCGCTTTTTATTTCCAGTAAGCTAATTTACTGGGAATTTTCTAAAAATACATGTAATAATGAAAATGGAAATGATTTATTCGTGTAACAATTGGTTATACAAGTTATTCAGATGTAGGGACCTCCTTTTAAGTGACCAATAGGTACTTGTGACAGGAAGTCTCGCTCTTCCGTGTAACACATACATGTGAGGTATTCATGCACAATCTATCTATACCAATATAATAAAGCGCAAAAACACAGTACTTTGTGGCGTAAGGTAATAATAAAATAAAATGCAGTAACAACCACTTTTTAATTTACTTTCCGTGTAAAATAATATACCTCAAAAGCTAGGACATTTTTATTTCAATAGGTAAATGAAACATATTACATCATATTGACTTGTTAAAAAGTTGGCGACCTTACTTGCCCAATGGTATGTAAGGTCAATTTAAAGAAATGCAATTCATAAAGTAAAAGAGTAAAACCCAATGAAATATTCGTTTTTTAATCACAACGTAACATTACATTTCACTGTTAATACGCGAAGAGCACTGAGCATCTAATGTGTTCAAGGATCAAATCCCCTAGGGCACGCTATGACTGTAATTAAAGTTGTGAGCAACATCTACACGCCATTACACAACTTGGTCCGTTTCATGTTTTTATCTAGTCTAGATTTTAATGAAACTAAATGGCATCTACCATCTCTCTAATAGTGTACTGCTTTATATTAGTACTAGCTTTCGTCCGCGACTCCGTCCGGTATTAAAAAAAAAGAAAGTGAGTAGACCATGTGTCCTTCCAGACTATCCTCTAAAAAACTACAAACTCTAACAAACATCCATCCATCCATGCAAACTTTCGCATTTATAATATTAGTAGGAGTAAGATAAGTACGATTCTTAGTATAAATCCATTTATACCTGCAAATTTTATTGGCCTGTTTTTCTTTGTATAAAATCTCTAAGATGTTTATTGCTTCTTAGCGGGGATTTAAAAGATAGCTAAGGTAATAAAAAAACTAAAAGCAAACGAAATGACTTAGAGATATTAAAACAAAAGAATCTATTGGTATCGAACAAAAAGGTTATACAGCGATTGGGATTAGGCATAACTTTGGCAGACAAAAGGCAAACATTTGTCCATTGTTGGAGATAAACAGTGATCGCTTTTAGAGCCGGTTAGAGCTTTGTTTATTTGAGCCCGTAGCTCCGGCGTACCATTAACAGATCGTGTATTTATTGTTTACCTCCCAATCGACAACTGTGCGCCTATTTTTCACAACATTTGACCGAATACCACGAATTTCAAACCAACGTTCACGTAAGCGTTATCTACCAACCTGTTACACGAAACTGCACTTTCTAATACAAATGTTTACCTCCGAGGGGACACAACGTAAGTTTTTAGATAACAAACTGTCCCTAAAACGCAGATAAACCTGATAGCAGTTGCTTGCACGTGCTTTATTGCCGTGTGCTTTTTACGAATCTAACTTAACTTGCCTTTCGGTTTCCTGTTAAGTGGACACGCCTAGGTTAAGTAGGTTACTTATCTTTTCGTAATACCATGTTAAAGTATTCGTAGAAAAAATTACATTGCGTTTTGTACATTTAGATTTCGTTATAACAAAAAGTAAATTTTAGATAGATAGACGACAAATGCATTTCACTCCGTGATAAAAAATAATTTAAATACCAAAAGTCAGGACAAATTTAAAAACATTAACATTAAGTTAACTTTTAACAACGTAATTAAAAAATAATGTGTTATTAAAAATATAACGGCAAAAGACAATTTAAAGGATCTGTGCACAAAAGGCATCATATTTGCCTTAAATCGATTCATGATTTCTTAATTAAGTCAGAGATTGTCCACAATAATTGTATTGAGCATTGAAAAATGTCGTTCATACCTTTCACTTTCTCAATCAGTCTAGCAAAGCCCTTCTAAAATTACATACTTATGGTTTTTTAATTTTCATTGCCATAACGAGGTGTCGAATCTAAGGAAAGTTGTTACGTGCTGTTGTTACAAGCAATACGTATGTTACGTGGCCATTTAACAAGTCATTACAATTAGAGAGTTGCTATCTTTTTCAGCGTTGAGACTCCGCTGGGTGGGACACTTGATGAGAATAGAGAATGATCGTGGAGCTAAAAAAGCGTATATCGAAATACCGATTGGCCGCCGACTCGTCGACTGGCCCAGGTACCACTGGCGAGACGCTGTGAGCTGGACCTGCGCAAGCTAGAGTCTATCAACTGGCAGGCGACGACGCAGGACGAATGACGCTGCCGCTCTCTCGTGACGGAGGCCAAGACCCACTTTGGGTCGCTGCGCCAACGCAGTATCTTTTTTAAAATGGTAAATGGTATAAACTACTCCAAAGTCGTGATTACGCTCGTTACACGCCCCAATGATTCAATTAGTGAAAAAGGTCAGCAAATCTAGATTTAAGCGCAAACGTTAATTAATTAACTGCATTTCTTGTATAATTAATTATAGCGCGGATTTTGTTTAAGAAATGTTTGAAGTGGTTTTTAAATAAAGGTTGATATTAAGAGTAATTTAAACGTCTACATATTTTTAAAGTATAACACGGTTATGGTTAATGAATAAAAATATAATTCATGTTATTGAGACGTGAGCAATTGTGATGCATGAATATGCCAATGTTTTCGGCCATCTGGCATTACCTTAAAAGTTAATTTATCGTTTTAAAGGTTATTAACGGTATGTAATTTAATACACGGACAAGTTCGCAGAATGCAATCTGGTAATGATTCATCAACGGCCTCACAAGGCAATTCTTGAAATGGGAACAAGAATGCAAATCAGTCGGAATCCAGTTACATAGAGAATGTTATCAGGATAGATAATAGCGGTTCCTTATTTAAATGTCTTATAGTTTATTACCAATAACATTATTAAAAATACGCCTTTATGCTTAAGAGTTACCGACACTTCGTAGTCATGGACACCACAGCAACACACTTTGTTACGATTTTGTACTCTAAATGGCTGAAAGGATTTCGATGAAATTTGATTTAGATGTAGCGGAGTCTGGAAGAACACAAAGGCTACTCGGTTTTTTTTTAATTCCACGCGGACGGAGTCTCGGGCGAAAGCTGATGTCAATATAAAAGTTTAATTGCTGTGTTCAAGTTGTCCTGCTATGAATCCACAAGGTCAAAGTTCCTCGCGACGGGTCGTCTGTGACACATATCTTCTATTGTAATTCTGAATTGCGAACTCATCTTCAGTGAAAACTCCA